GGATGGATGGATGGATGGATGGATGGATGGATGGATGGATGGATGGAAGGATGGTAGGAAATCCAGGCACATTTGGCCCAAACCGTTAATTTCTACAACTTCTCAAATCTACAGCCAGTCGTTTCACAACATCAGTGCTATCAAACCCAACCTTCGCCAAATGAGACCTTAATCTTCATCCTGTCCTTCTGTTTGTCTTTCATGTTGGAGCCCTGATTGCCAAAGACCTTGCAGTGATAAGAGGGCTGCGTGGAGAGAGTGTTATCCTGGAAGGAGTCTAATCAATAGTCTGTTTCTATCGATCCCCCCCCCTTTTAACTTCATTGTTCTTTGGCGGGGCCCCATCAGGGTGGCGGCCGGTTGTTCTTGTCCAAGTTCAAATTATGACAATTTGTCAATCCTCTAATGAGGAGGTCACATCTTCAAAGGCTAAGCGTCTGTTGTCGCTGACGGATGTCCGGATTGTTTCAGTCGACCGAAGCTTTTTGGAATTAAAAGCAGGGGGCGGCTTCCTCGTTATCTGTATTTTTACCTCTCCAGGTAGATCACCTTGACATGGGGGACGTGGAGGATGATTTGGAATGCCTGCATTTGCCGGCGCAACAAAAGAAATGCATTAAATATTCCAGCTGGTAATTTCCGTGGATAAAGAATAGGAGATGGAGGCTAAATGAGCTTTTCCCTCTGGGCTAGTGAGTGTTATATTCTCTTGAAATCTCGGTCTTTGTGGTTTAACTGAGCTATAATTGAAAAGTTCCAGCCTCCCCCCCTTATTTCTTCCCCCTCTTTTGCTTCAGTCTTACAGTTCCAGCCCAACTAAACTTCTCTTTCACAACATCAACCTTCAGCCTCTCTCTTCTTGTTTTTTTTTTTCTCTTCTTAACATATTCACTGTTATCTCCTGTTGGACTTGGTTTTTTCTTTCCCCGCTCGGCCACCCGCTGAGCTTTCGGATGAATGTAGGCGATTCTTGATCATTTACGCCCCAACCTTCCGCTGAATCAACCTTTCTTCAGCAGACGAGAAAAGGGGTGGGAAGACTTTGAATAAGTCCAGGAAGATGATGTGAAAGGCGCTGACGTGGCGGTGCGGCTCATATGCCTGAAAAACAAAACGCCGTTTCCCCCCGACGGCACGTTATGCGGCAGACTAATCGCGAGTCAAGAACGACACTGATTTCCTCCCACAGGAAAAGGGGAACATTAGGTTCAAATGTATATAATACAACTTAAAAGATTTGGCATAAAGAGGGACCGTCTCCATGCACGTCGGGCCTGGCGCCATATCCGTTGAAATTATTTTAAATGATTCATTTTTCTCGAGAGCCCTGGCATTTTCCAAAGAGTTCTGCACACTTCTCCCTCTGTTTCAGCAGATAACACTTTGTAGTCCCCCCGCTCGAGTAGAAAAGGAGTTCTTCTGAGTAATTGCCTCTGCTGAACCATTTTTTTTTTTCGGCGGGGAAAAAAAAAAAAAGGAGTTTTACATGATGGGCACAATGTAAAGCAGATCATGGTCACGCTGTGCTCATTGTTCTTTGAAAGTCTCTCCAAAGTGGAAAGCCAGTGGAACTTGGCAGGTGGTGAATGTGAAAGCTCAAATAAAAAAGGGGGAGAATGATTATGAAGTCTTGGCTTTGCTAATTCCATTTAACTCGGGAATGAAGACGGTGATTGGACTGAAACCTTTCTCGTGTGGGTAATTGGACTGGCTTTGCAGGAAAGATGTTTGGAAATCGACATAGTAAACACCCCCACGCTGGGGAAAGTGAGGGGGCCGAGGCACATTAGCAGTCAGCACAGTAACTATAATCTCAATGCTGGAGATTTTATTAATGGCGATAAATTCTGGTCTGACTGGATCTCCCCCCCCCCCCCCCCGAACAGCCTTTTGCTTTTAGCAAACAGAAAAGCGCACCGAAACGAACATTCCTCTGTTCTCTTGGTTATTCAGGTCAGGGAACGCAGATGTCCGAGCCTTTGTCAAAGCTTTGGCTTCTGTTGCTGCTATTTTTGCTCCCTCACCGTACATGCCCTTTCATTCTTGAGTCACTCTGGAGCATTGGAGGGCCGACCCAGAATACTGAAAGCCTGTCACACCACAGGACATGAGCACCTGCACGGAGAGAAAGTAACGAAACAATAAAATCACACGAGAAGTCCCTGTGCATCTCCATCAGTTCATAGTGGTTGCACTTTTCCATAGCCCTCATGTCATTTTCGAAGATTTTTGGCAAAGGCTCTTCAAGGTGAATCATACTTTTCTGTGAAAGGCGTCAAATATGTTGAAAATGACTCTCCGTCCTAATAAATGTCAGCAGAACAGCCTAAACGAAATGAAAAAAATGTCTGTTCTCTTGGCCAACGTTCAAAGAAATGTTCAGAGCTATGCTGGTTGACTTAGCATAGCCTCTGTCTAAACATGAAGAAAAAAATAATGAAATCCTAATTATACTTTTTCTTTTGCCATACAAAAGGCAAAGTGTAGAATTCCCGAATGTGGTTCTGAAAACCAGCCAGAGCAACAAAATAGAACTGCACTTAACCCTTCAGGATATTTAGACATTAGTGAGGCAACACAGATATTTGATAATTAAACCGAATCCAAAACGGTCGAGATGACTAAAGCCGAACAACAAAAACATTGATTTTCCAACTACTTGTAATCAGCAAAAATGCCAATTTTAGTAGACTTACTGTAGAAGTTTGTGACACAGCATTAGTTGAATAATACTAAAGTGCTGGGAAAAGGGGTAGATTCCATGCATATATATATATATATATATATATATATATA